AGCCAAGCACACCACACCGGTACCGCGAGGGACGGACAGAGCTGCGGAGGGACAAGTCTCCCGGGCGCCCACTGGAGAGGGAAAAGTCTCCAGGCCGACTCCTGAGCACCCGCAGAGAAAGGTCCCCTGGGAGACTGTTTGATGAGAGCAGCCGAGGCCGAATGCCTGGCAGTGGTGCCAGAACCCCCCTCTCCCAAGTCAACAAGGTAAGTCGGGAGCTTGGCGAACTTCTCCATTCTCAGGAAAAGTTGTGGAGTTTGGATGGGCTGCTGGTACTGTAAAGGGGAAGAGTGAATCAAATCTCACCCCACTTTACTTTTAATAAAACACAGCATATATGAAGTTATGTAATTCCCTGGCCCTGGAGCATCCTCCCTTGTGCTAGCTGTATGTAATTGCAAAAGCAGCTTGGCTCAGGAATAGGTCACAGTCCTCCAGATGTGAAAGAGGAGGTGCTTTCACCAACAGAAATGAAGTTATTGAAGACTTGGGAGGGAGAAGATGGCTGGAGAAAGAAATGGAGAGGGCTGCAGTGTTGAGAGTGGTGCTGATGACACTTGTCTTTGTTGGGTATTTGACTGTGTCTTGTAGGAGGAAGCCGGTCTGCAGCACCCGCTCAGTGCTAGTTGGACTGCACGCTGCTTCTGGCACCTGTGCAAGTGGGAGAAAAGTGTGTGCAACTTATAACTGTCCTTTAATTTCCCTGCCAGGTCTGGGACCAGTCTTCAGTGTAAGTCTCAGCTAGACAGTTACTCGTCTTGACCTGCAGGAAAAACAAAGGAAATACACTGAGTATATGCACTCCATCCAACTGCTGCCCAGTCACCCAAACAGCATTCCTGGGCCAAAGCTAGCTCTGCATCAGGAGACCCGTGATGCTTTTAAGGATTCTCCGCATCTCAGTTAATTTCTCCGCACTTTCCTGCACTCCTGTTTTTGCACTTTGTACTACTGTTACTCTTTCAAGCAGTTCATGAACTTTTTGTATTCACCTTAGTCCCGAGTAGTTCATCAAGAAAGTCAAAGGGGACTAGAATCTCCCCCCAGATCTTTAATGAGGTTAGTGCCCCTTCCCCAGTAATTAATCGTAGTTCTGAGACGTGCTGGGAGTTCCCGATGGCCTCGATACAGAAGGGCCAAGGTGACTGAGTCTTTCAGTAGAAGGTGTGGTTGGATATTCGCTACAGAACTCGAGAAAATTCAATATTGAGCAGTCTGTTCACCTGCCACTTTTGAAAGTTATTTTGTTCTAAGATTGCCCTAGAGCAGCTTCAGTGGGGAGGGAAGAACCCCGCTTCCAATGATCCTGTGTACCCCGAGACAAAGTGCATTATCTCTAAGCTCCTGGGGTGTAAGACGTGACCCAGGTCTTCTGCATGACAGTTCACTGCATGCTGCTGCACCATCACTGGCCGCTCTCTCCTTTTGGGTTGCTTTGCTAAGTAGTGTATTGTAGCCTCACTTGTAAATTAACAGAAACCTTTAGATTGCACTGCAAAATGACCACTAGTAACTACTGGAAATTTGGCAGTGAAGAGCTACAGGCCTTATTCTACGACAAGAGTTACAGTCACACTCGTCTCCTCCTTCCGGCATTAAACGTGGGTCGCTGAGACGTGACGTCCGCGTAGTCCCAAATCCTGAGAGCTGCCGCTTTCCCCCGAAAGCTCCAAAGGAAAGCAGCGGGGAGAAGAGCCGCACCGATTGCTTCGGTGGTTTGTAACTTGTCGTACAATAAGAACCAAATGGCATGGCACAAGAGGATGCCCACAGTAAACAGCTTTGGCAGTTACCACCACCGCCACCGCCGCCTTTGCTTCTGCAGAGCCAGCCTCCAGCCCCGATTGCTCTCTAGTCTCTTTTGCTGTGATCACGAAGCAGACGATGCTCGAAGCAGGTTTCGACCATTCACTCTGCACTAGCAAGGCTCTCGGTGAACAACCATGTTCTTTACAACTGGAAAGAGCAAAACTGCATCCGATCTCCCCTTGGCCACACACTTAAACTTCTGCTAGTCCCTTGCAAGCCCGTGCTAACCTGTCCTAGAAACCCATAAAAATTCAAATGCCTTGTCAGTGTCCTTGGGCAAGTTTCATGAATATTGTATTTTGTTGTCTGTTGGGTTGTTTTAGATCAGGTGATTTGGCAGGAAACTTGCTGAAAATTTTGTCTCCCAGTCCGAGTACTTTGGAAGGTCACTGAGAGCAGTATTTAAATCTTTGCATCTCATGGAAGATCTACATGACCTCAGAAACGGGCTTGTTGAGTCCTGAATGTGTATATCTTGTGTCTTGTTCGTGAAATGCTTCCTGCTATAGAAATAGCTCAAAGGACTGTACATAGTTACAAGAAACTTTATATTCGTAACAAAAGGGAATTGAATTGGTTTCTACTTTTTTATTGTAAACTGTGCGGTTTTTCAACACTAGCTTTTTGTTTTACTGGTGGTTGTGGACAGCCATCTTCAGACACTGGAGAGGCCTCAGCTTAGTCCTCGCTCCCATGAAGAAATACTGTAACATTAACTTGCAATTGAAGCTTGTTAGCAGAAATGAGGTTTTAGGTATCTAAAAGTACAGAGTTTTTCTTCATTACCTTTTTATTATTGACAAGGGAGGGAACCAGAGGGTCAGTTCCAAGCTCCACCTGGAAAGTATTGAACTTTGTTGTTGAATAAGAACCAAATAAAACAAATAACTCTCTTGACTGGCATGGTGAAATGAACCCGTCCTTCCCCGTAGCGCCCGCTGAGCCCCCTCCCTCGCACCCAGCAGTAGAGGCTGTGTAATCGATAGGCGCCTTCGCTTACCAAAGAGCTTCCCTTGACAATATTTAGCCTTCCGAGAGCTGTCACTTCCTGACCACGTAGCATAAATGGCTTCACCGCGTTAAGCATCTCCATACCACCTACCACAGGTGCATTTGCCCAAATATTGTACTGGAGCAGCAGGCGGCTGCCAACACCTCGAGCTAAACGGGGGGCCGTTAAAGACGCGTGAGTATCCGGGCCCCCTGCCTGGCCCTGCTAGACGACCCTCACCTTTGAGCTGGGAAAAACCCATCTTAATTAACACGAGAGTGATTTGGGATTTGGGAATCCCGGGTTTGGGATTGATCCCAGCAAGGTACCCATAGCAAAGGGGACGAAGAGAGTTACTCATCCCACCGCTGTAAGATGCTGGTGCTTTTAAGGCTTAAGAGCTGCAACTTTTTAAAAACCTTCATGAAAACCCTAATGCCGATTGAATACAACCTGCAGTTCCTGTACAGCTGAACTTCCACCTGCTGGGAAAACTTGCTAGATCAGACTTAAATGTAAATACATCTATTTTTAACTGAACCAGTTTTTACAGGGTCTGAAGTATTCTTTCACAGGAAGAGGTTTTTAATATTCACACTGCTGCCTACAGTAACTTAATTTGTCCTCCTACTGTTCCGTGTTTTTGGGTTTGTGCACACGGCCGCCCCCGTGCCCCCCAGGCAGGGCTTGGCGGAGGGTGTGTGGGAGGGTTACTAATAGCTCCCATTACATTCTGGTCTCCATGACATCCTTCATGAAACTGCTCTACATTTAAAAAAAGAAAACCGAAAAAAAAAAGAATTACAAGCTGCTTGATTTATCTATTGTGCCTACTAGCGGATGTATCGGATGAAATGCTAACTTGTTCAATGTTCCTTTATTTCGGTTTTACTGTGCACAAAGACGACTTATTTAACCCTCATTGTTGCAGTCTTTATGATGCATGATCCGAATTGTAACAAAAACTAAAAATTATTCCAGAAACTGGTGGAGTAAAACAAAAAAGAAAAAAAAAAAAGAAAAAGAAGTTATTTACTGAGCCTTTTGCTTATCAGGACTTCTGCACCAATCCACGGTCAGCTTTACTGCCCCAGTGTGTTTTGGGGGGCTGGGAGGGCGTTCCCACTGAAAACCCACTGGTGTTTTTTGGGGGGCGGGGGTGGCTCACGTGCAGGCGGCTGCACCCCCGGTGCTGCTGGGCACAGGAGGTACCAGCCACCTTCCCGGGGTGGCCCTGCGGCCGTTGTCCCCCTGCCTTGTTCAGGGGCGCTGCGGCCACCACCTCTCGCCCCAGGCCCGGCCCAGCTGCCGGGTGCTTTGACTGAGTTTCCCATCCAGGAGGCGGCAATCCTGCTGTCCAGCACGGGAACGGGAACTGCCGGCACCTGCTGTGCTGGCGCCTTTGCTTTCGGCACCGCTTCCTACTTCCCTTTAAATCGTGATGAGCCTCTGCACTTGGGCAGGGTGCTTACATGCCACGTATACACACAGCACATGCACGCATCTCCCCGCTCCCCTCATTGAGCTCTGTGCAAGCAGGTGCTCTCTGGTGCTCCTAAGAACATTACGGAGGTCCAGGCTGTCCCAGTGCCCAGTCGCAGCCAGTTGCACCCATGGTGGCCTGTGAAAGCGCAGCCAGACACGCTCAGTGCCAAGGAGAAAGGCCTGGAAAAAACACAGGTTTGCTTAAATAGAGGTTTATGGGAACACGGAAATGTCCGTGGCCCTGAGGCTCGCACTGTGTTTTTGAGACTGCAGGATTACTGGGGCTTGTATTTGAGTGTTCTGCTTTGTGTAAGCTTTGTGTCATGAAAAGCCCACTAAAGCTTCCTTCGTCTTCTTTCCGGATAACAAAGTGCTGCAAAGTGGGTCTAGTGTAACGTGTAAAGCAACAACTACCAACTGCAGGTTCTAAAAATACCAAACTCAAAGAAGCCAAGGCCGAGAAAACATAAGGGGAAGGATAAGAACAAAACAAGTCATCTGCTTTTCTTGAAAAATCCTTTATTTTTAACTTGTTTCTGAAAAGGCTGGAAACAAAAGCAATTGTATATTTCAGAACGAGGACTATCGACAGCACAGAATGAAAGACAGTTTTCAGAGAGAACCATTGCACTAGACCCAGCTCTACTGAGCCGCTCGGGATACTGCAACAAGGCTGGTGAGCAGCCCCGCGGCCGCTGCTGCAGCTTTGCCCCGCTCGTGTTATTGCCGACGTGCTCTTCCCCACAGGAGGACACGGGCTGGGATCATTGGCACAGTTGCTGGCACTTAGCAGGCACCAGACAGGAGCAACGGAGAGGGCCTGCGGGGTCCCTCCTGAGACGCTTCCTCTGGGAAGGCTGCGACGTGGCAGCGGTTGTGTTTGGTTTGGGATAACACGGACGGGCAGTGCAGAGGAGAGACATCGCTGTATTCACTTAGGAAAACAGGAACACAAGGAAAAGAACTGTGGAGGTGCCACAGCCCGGCTCACAGGGACTTCATACTTGCTGCTGGTGCATACTTCCTCCGGCAGGAAGGATCCAGCTCCAGCCCCGCGCACGGAAAAGCGGAAAGCTGCTGCTTCCACTGCACATTTGGCCCCCAGGACACAGGGTGCTGCACAGTATCTTACAGACATCAACTCGGCTGACAGAGGCTGTTACTGAAGAACTAATCCCTAAACGGGATGCGCTGGATTTCTTACAGCTCCCTATCCCAGCTTAAGGAAGCCCTTATCAGTGACAGCGTGAGACGTCGGTTGCAAAAAAGTAGATTACTGCAAGACACACGTATGATTGACAAAAAAATCCAGCCATTAAAAAAAAAAAGTCTTTACCAGAAATTCCACAGTGGAAAAGTTGTATTTCTGTTCTCAGGAAGAGAAATGCTACAGAACTATTAACAATAACACAGTGCCTCCCAGTCTACTGTAAAATCAAAATGACCTTGTGGGTGATTATATCACTAATTTTGCCTAGAAAGACTGCTACAAAACATCAAGTTTCACACTTATTTCAGCCATGCAAGTTTCAAACCTGCTACTAAAATAATTGTGTTTGATGCACGGATTAAGTTATGAAAGCAGTAATGGGCTTGCTCTGCTTAGTGTTGAGCTCAATTCCGATTCCACAAGAATCCTGAACTTTCTAGATTTTAGGCTTTTTTTTTGGTATTTTTATAGTGTGCATCACTGCTGAAGGTCTTTAATCTGCTGCTGTTCTGACATTTTTCAGCCTAATCGATTACATAGATGAATCTAAGTGTTTTTAACTGAGCTGACAACTGGCACTGCCACTTTGCCATTAGTCTAGTCATTGTGAAGCTGTCATCTCCGAGAACTTCCAAGGTGGGATAAGAATAAGGCAAATATAGAACCTGGAAGTCTCAGAAATAATATGAAATCAGAGTTTGTTTGCTGCAGCACAGAGCAGGAGTACTTTTGGTTACGAAAATATACTTTTTTTTTTTTTTCCTGAGACCACACTGGCCCAGAACACTTGGTCAGAAACAACCATGATGTTCATATCGGCTTGTACAGCAACGTAGTCACGTATTTCTTCTTGTAACGATGTGTAGCACTAAGCACCATCACTCCGTCCTATGAGAGATGGGAAACAAGGGGACCTATTACATGGCTATCCGAAAGGTTCATGTGTGAGGAAGAACAGGCCTTGGCCCCTCACCTTGATAGAAAGTGCGTAGAGGTGGTTCAGCATTACGTGGTTGGGTTCAGGGAGCAACGCTGGATCACACTGGGGAGGAAAAAGGAAAGGGGGGCCATGAGATTGTGGAAATAACAGGCAAAAACCAGCAAGAACTCACAATTTATCATCACAGATGATGGGTGATAACCACTGCCAATAACTGTGTGGTGATACCCTCAAATACTGCCTCTTGCACCGAGTCCATCAACAAACACAGATGCAACTAAGATCCTCTCAGTGCGGGACCCTTTGAGACCATGAAACAGACCTCAGCTATTTCCTACCTGCTTTTGACAATTTCAGCACAGTTTAGTGGTGTTGCAGTGGGAAGATCTGGTTTTCTGGGAGCCAAGTAACAACTCAGTTCTCATTTTGAAACAGGTCAGGTAGAGAGAAATTTACTACAGGTGGACCCATCTGGACTTGTGTAATAGGCAATTTATGAACATGGCAATTATTCCATGTTTCTCCTTGACTGTACACAGATTTTCCATCTCTGCCCACATTCTCAAGGACCTTATTCAGCAAAGGAAACTGATGTACTCACAGAAATGCCCGTGTCCTTATTCAGGATGACCTGCAGCAGGTGAGGGGGAAGAATGGGTGGAGATTTGAAGCGCTCCTCTGCCTTACAGACATAAGGTTCCTGGTGGTATGGTCCTGGGGGCGAACTTGACAGCTCTGCCAGAGAGACAATAAATATTTATTCTTAAAATAGTCTGGAAGAATATCTGCTCTTTAAAGATCCTCCAAGCAGATTCTCACACCCAGGAACTTGCGACCAAAAGAAGTTAATAGCGTGTGAAAGAACTGTAGCAGCTGATGCATTGAGGATCACTCACTGCATGAGGAGAGTAACAACAGTCTGCGAGAGCCTTAAAAGAAAGACATTTTAGACATTTTAGACATCCCAGGCCTGTCAGCCTTGAGACCAGCTGCAAAGATGTGCAAGGCAGGGCTCTGAGTGCTCCAGAATTTCATCAGTATCATCTCCACCCAGCGCTTCGCCAGCAAACACTTAGTACTAAACATTGCTCCACAATATTATCTGCAAGGGAATGCTAAGCACAAAAACATGAGATGCAAGAGTAAAAAGCAGGTATTATTCCAGTAGAGGGACAGAAAGAGCTGTTCAGGGTAGAAAGCAAGATAACAGAGGGTTGTTATTGCACTTATGGGACAGGATCTACTAGGCTCCTCCATTGCTTCTTGCAATCCCAGTCTCACAAATCCCACTCTTTCCCCAAAAATCTTTGTCCAGGGGCAAAGTATAGAGTAAAAATCAACTGAAGGCACCTTCTGCCTCCGATAAAAAGGTATTCTAAGAAGAAGACAAGATGCTACTTCAATCGTGGTTTGAGTGTCTGCAAAGGCCTATGAAGAACAGAGACCCAAGTGGATCTGAGATGATCCAAGGTAAATCTTGCCTCTTTTCCTATAACTTTGTCAAAATGTTCTGCTCAAAGATATGGTTTACTTATACTAAACTGACAGGATATGAGGCACTCCTCAGCCTGTGGCAGCATGACTAAAATGCATCTCATTTGTATTTCTTATCGGGCGTTTTTTGATCTGCTGAGGCCATTTCTTAGCAAAGGAAAATGGTATTAGGAGGAATTTAGGCTGTCAACATTGGCTTGATGTTTTAAGGTAGAGACAGATCCTCTGAATGTACTAAAAGCAGCCATTTCACATTGCAGGGACAAATGAATTGCAATTAAGCGCTCATGGCTTCCTCCTAATCACATCTTTAATGACCTGCAATGCTTGGCCAAAGGCTCTTCTGCCTTCTTCCTCTGTTCAGATATGCTGCCTGCACACGTCTACAGAGCCTGTCAAAAGCAGAGAATAATCTGTCCTGGAGCTTTAACTCAAGACAAAAATGAAGAGGGAAATTTTTAACAGCTCTAACAGGTGTAATATAAGATTACCAGTAGCTTCATACCAGACATGTCTGAACATTTTTGGGAGTCCACCATCAAAGCATCGAATACTTCAAAGTCGGTTTTCTTCACCTGAATGATGTTGTTGACAGTTCCTAGCTGGCTGGTTACTACTGGCTAGGAGGAAACAGGAGACAAAAGTCACCACAAAAGAAGCTTGCAGGACTAGTAGGATTTTTAAAAACTATGCAGTTGGTATTAACAATGAGATTCATTCCTTTCAAGGTATATTAGCACCAGATATGAAAGAGTTCACCATTGCAGAATTAGCATTATGTTAAAAGGTGGGTACAGGATTTGGGACTGGGTAGGGGGGATTTCTATCAGCTGAGCCTGCTGAGTCTACGGAGTCTTGGGTTATAGAAAATCTTGGGTTACAGCTGAAGCTAGATTAGGTCTGGCCTAAAGTTAATGATTAGCCCAGAAGGGCTTTCAGAGGCAGGTAAGATCTAGACGATCTGAAGCCGTACAGGCAGTTGCATGAATTTTACTCTTAAAGCTAAAGTCCAAGGCAGAGGGTCTAAAAGCTCAATTTAGTACGTGATTCTGCAAAGTTTGCAAAAGCAGCCAAAAGCCTGGAACCAGCAGCTGTGAATGGCTAATTCTGATGCAGGTAGGGCTGCAGGGCAAGCTGTGGATTATTTACAGCAGAGGAAGGGAAAATGCCCTGGTGCCTGCAGGACTTTATGGCGCAATTGATGCACTATGGATAGATCCAGAGCAGCAATAGCAATATTCTGGCATAGAAAGCAAGAGAGACAGAGATTTCAGCTGTCAGCAATGCTACAGTGTTCTCAAAGTCAGCTGGGCACCAGGAAGAGAAAAGCTCACCATCACTCATAAACCAATACCCAGTGCACCTTTGTCACCTATTTCTTACAGAAGGCTCCTGTCATTTCAGGCTCTCAGTCAGGTGCCACCGCCTAAGCCAGCTGGGATCAGAAACATCTATCTCTGTAGACTAAACAGTCAGTTGCTGCTGTTAACAAATGCTTTCTCTTTGAAAAGGCCACTTACTGGTGCAGAATAACATCCAGCTTCCCTTTTTCATCAATCAGTAAACCTATTAAATATCAAAGAAAACATTACCTCTGAAGGATCATGTGTCCACTGCCCATCCACGAAGAACTTATACTGGTGCTCTCCTTCTGGCAGGTCCAGGATTGCCACAAAGTTATTGTGACTGGAATTTTAAGACAATCACCCATGAAATATTCCGAAAAGTGCATCAATCTCTGTGACAAACACCATGACATAGAATATGAATCTCCTTAACAGGCAGAATGTCAATATGGCAACACCGGGTTTAAGAGAATCTCTTGTGTAATATAAAGGAAAAGAATAAGATTATAGTTAATGTAACACACAAGTCCTAATATATTTAATATTAATACTGATACCCCTGGCATCATAAAGGAACTAGTGTGGAACTTTCATAAAATCTCTCTGACATTTTCATTTTACTTGTCAGTACATAAGACCTCATTTTGTCATCAATGCTTTTGTTGATGGAAAAAAAAGGATTAATTTTTCTTGCTTTCCAATATTTGTCATCACAAATTGCATTTTACGGGTGCCAGTGAAGTGAATAAACAATGACTGGAAGATGAAAGCATCAGTTCTGTCGCTTTGACATTCTTTGGGTTTGAATAGCTGTTGTTTGGTAATTTTAACATCCTTGTGCTGTGAACTTTTCAGTTCTCTGGAACTCTTTAGTGCCTTCTCAAAGACACTCAGAGAGAGACAGTGCCGTGTGAGCCATCCCCACAGGCCAGGCAATACCACCACTTCTCTTCTTAGGTAAGGAGTGCCAGCCTACACCACCACAGAGCTGGATTTGAGAATTCAGCAGGGAATAATTAACTCTTTTCTACTTCAGCCTGTTTGATTCAGTTCTGCTAGTTTTTTTTCAGCCTATAAAGAGATCCAGGTATCTCCTTTCTTAAAACAGTAAAAGAGAAACAGATTCCTGCTTCTCTCCTCAAGACCTTGATATGAAAGTGGCAACATTAAGCACCACCTTTCTCACTGCACTCATCATTCCCAGTGCTCAGGGACTGCTTTACATTACTGATGCCGCAGAAGTTTATTACCTCCTTGTCAGAGGAATTTTACTCCAGTTGTTGAAGGAGCCAGATAAATAAACTTCTTTCCCTCCTCCAGTCCAACGGAAGACTGTTGGTCGAGCTTGAGTGGGCGTTTTATCACTGACTTCCAGATCTTGTTGCCAGGCTAGGAACTCTTCTTTATCCAGCGGCGCCTAGGAACACATCTTGATCAAGAATAGTTCACAACTGGCACACTCAGATAATCCATATTTCCCTAAAGGCAAACCAGCACTACCTTCATCTCCTCTGCATGGAACAGGTCTGCATCTTCAGGACTATCCATCAAGATTTTTGGCCTGTCACCCTCTTTCGTACTGATGGCTCCTCCTGAGTTGTCACCTCGGGTTGCCTTATGCCCATGACGCTCTAGGCCTGCTCGCTCGCTGCTTGTGTTCCCCATTTTCAAAGCTCTAAGAGGAGGAAAAGGCAAATTAGCACCTGTATTTTTAAGTCAGAACAGCAGGAGGCAGAGAGCAGACCTGTCAGGAAACTCAGACTCTGAATTGAAGACAAGTGATTACTTCATCCTGCAAGTATCTTAAAACTATGACCGTGCTCGCAACAAAGAGCAGCTTTATCAGTGCCTGTTTCCCAGAGATATTCAGTGAGAGTCTCAAGCTGGAGTTTTAGAAGTTTTGCTTGGCTACACACTGTTGTTTCCTGCCCCATAGTGAGGAAACCTCACAAAACCGGGCACGGGAGAGCCGCCGTTTCGCAGCTGCCTGCGGAGAGCAGAAGCCCTTTTTTTTAAAAAACTCTCTATTCCTGACAGAAGCTGAGCATGAAATTAAAACACCATGACAAGGATGTGGAGGAGCGGAGATGAGGAGGCGGGAAGGGGGGTTGTTGCGAGTCGCGCCTGTCCCTGCAGGCGCCGCAGGCCGCGCGGCCCCGGCCTGTCCCGGGCCCCGAGTGCCCCGCTCCGTCCCGGCCACGGGGCCTCACCGGGGACTCACCGGCCTGCCCCGCGCGCGCTGGCCCTGCCGCCGCCACCGCTGCGCTTCCGCTTCCGTCCCGCCGCACGGCGCGCGGCTCGGGCGCCCGCGCGGCCCCGCGCGCACGTTCCGGCCGCCCCGCGCGGCCCGTCGCCCCGAGCCCGTCTCCTTGGCCTCCTCCTGCTCCCACTTGTCACCACCCTCAGAACAGGCTGCTTGGCCACCACCACCCCCACATCCTGATAGCGCCGTCCTGTCCGCCAGGTCCCACCACCACCCCTGCCACCTCGCCATGTCCTGCTAACACTCAGTGCCTGACCCTGTGTCCCACAGCCGCCCAGTGCTCTGCCCCATATCCCACCACGACCTGTATCCCACACCATCCTGTGTCCCAGCACTGTCCCCGTGTCCCACAACCCTCCCTATGTCCCATCATCACCCTGTGTACCACCACCACGTGTCCCACCTCCATCCCACCTCCCAACATCACAACTTCATGTCCCACCAAACGCCATGTTCTGCCACCACCCTGCGTCCCACCACGACAACACCACATGCTGCAACACCAGCCTGTGTGCCATCACCAACCACCAATCCATGTCCCACAACGACCTTGTGTCCCACAACCACTCCGTGTCCCACCTTCACTGTGTACCACGACCACCTCGCTGCCCTGTATCCTGCTGTCAACCCCCACTGCTGCCCCATATCCCACCACCGCCCCATGTCTTGCCACCAACTCATGTCCTACCCAACCTCATGTACCAAGACCACCCTTTGTAACACCACCACCCCATGTCACAAGACCAGCCTATGCCCTGTTGCCACCCTGTGTGCTGCGACCACTCTGTGTTCCACCACCACCGGCACCCAATCTGGTGTCCCAGCACTGCCATATGGTGTCCACAGGGAACTGCGGTGTGTGTTCCACGACCAACTCATGTCCTACCACCACCCCGTGTCCCACCACCACACCATGTCACCATTGCCTCATGATTCACTATTATCCGGTGCCCCAACAGCACCCTGTGTCCCAACATCATCCTGTATCCTACAAGTACTCCATGTCCCACCACCACGACAAGTCCCATCACCACCTTATGACCTCTCCACCAACCTGTCTCCTAATGGAAACCTGTGTTCAGTTGCCACCCCTTGTCCACCACCACCTTGTGTCCCACTCTTAGCCTGTATTCCACCATCACCCTGTGTTGCACCACCACCTTGTGTCCAGGCAGCAGCTTGTATCCCACAATGATCTTATGTATGGTGACCACCACTACCTGCATTCTAATCACCACACCATTTCACACTACCACATCATGTTCCACCACCATTCTGTGTTCCACCAGCACATTGGGGAACACGGGCTAATGGTGGAATATGGGGTGGCCGTGATACACAGTGTGGTGGAGGGACCTGGAATAGAGGTGGAACATGAGTTGGTGGTGGAACATGGAATGACTGTGGAACAATGGGTTGTATTAGTACATAGGGTGGTGGTGGGACACAGCGTGGTGTTTGAATAGGGGGTGGTTATGGGACACAACGTGGTTGTGGAGAGTGTGGTGGTGGGACATTGGGTGATGATGGGACATGGAACCAAGTTGGGACATAGGGTGGTGGTGTGACATGGGCTGGTGGTCGAACACAGGGTGATGATGGCACACGTGCTGATGTTGAAACATCAAGTGACAGTGAGACACGAGGTAGTGGTAGGACATAAAGGGTTGTGGGACACTTGGTGGTGAGAGATGAGGTGGTGATATGATGAGGGGTGGCGGTGGGACATGGTGAGGGTCACGATCGGACATGTGATGGTGGAGGGATATGGATTGATGATGAGATATAGGGTGGTGGTGGGACACAGCTTGGTAGTGGGACATGGAGTGGTGGTGGGGTAGGGGGTGGTGGTGGGGCATTGGGTGGTGGTGGAAATAAAATGGTGGTGGGGCACGGGATGATGTTGGGACATAGAGTGGTGGTGGGATGTGGCATTTCTGGTGCATGTGGTGGTGGTGGAACACAATGTGTTGGTGGGACACAAGGTGGTGAGGTGACAGAGGGTGGTTATGGGATGTATGGTGGTGGCAGCATGTCAAGTGATTGTGGGACTACCGTACAAGGAGCGACTGAGTTGGGCCTGTTTCCTCTGGAGAAGTGAAGATTCAGAGGAGATCTGATCACTATGTATAAGTACATGAAGGCAGAATGTAGCGAGGAAGGGGCCAAGCTCTTCTCAGTGGTGGCCAGTGACAAGACAAGGAGCAATGGATATAAGTTGAAATACAGGAAGTTCCATCTGCATGTGAGGAAGAACTTCTTCACTGTGAGGGTGACAGAGCCATGGAAGAGACTGTCCGAGGAGGTTGTGGAGTCTCCTTCTCTGGAGGTCTTCAAAACCTGCCTGGATGCTGCCCTGTGCCACATGCTGTAGGTGACCCTGTGTGTGCAGGGGAGTTGGACTGGATGTTCTCTAGAGGTCCCTTCCAACTGTAAGGTTTCTATGATTCTATGATCCCATGTGCCACTGGGACCACCCCAAGTCCCATCACTGCTGTGTCCCACAACCACTCTGTGTCCTACTGCCACCACATATCCCACCACCACACCATGACCCATCACCACCTCATGAAACACCATCACCCCAAATGCCAGCACCACGCAATGTCCCAACACCACACAAAGAACCACCACTCTGTCATGACCCACCACCCCATGCCCCAACACCAGCCCATGTGCCACCACCACTACCCTTTGTCCCACCAACACCCCATGTCCCACCACCACATGTACCATGAATGCCATTTGTCCTACTAGCACCCTGTCCCACCATCATCCCATATCCCACCACTACCTCGTATCACTCTACCACCTGTCACCCTCACTGTCAAGGAGTGTTTCCTTAAGTTCCTGCGGAACTTTTGGTGACTCAGCTTGTGGCCGTTTTCTCTAGTCCTGTCGCTGGTCACCACTGAAAAGAGCGCCCTCTTCCCCCCCATCACTGCCTCCCTTGAGGTATTTATAGACACTGATGAGGTCGCCCCTCGGCCTTCTCTTCTCCAGGCTGAACAGGCCCAGCTCCTTCAGCCTTTGCTCACAGGGCAGATGTTCGAGGCCCCTGATCATCCTCGTAACCCTGCGCTGGACTCTCTCCAGCAGCTCCACATCCCTCTTGTACTGGGGAGCCCAGAGCTGGACACAGTCTCCAGATGTGACCTCACCAGGCCTGTGTATAGGGGCACAAGTAGAAGGACGTCTGTGAGCCCAAGCTGTGTCCTGCGACCTGCTGCTGTGTTGTGGCGCTGGGCGGATTGAAGGTGCTGGCTCCGGTGGCAGGTTTTAAGGAGGAGCTGTGCTTGTTTCGTCTTTCGAGGCGGCCTCCGCCGGCCCTCGCCACGTGTGGCGGGGCTGCGGGAGGAATGTGGGTGGGCAGCCTTACCCAGCGCCCCAGAAGAGCAACACGGCTATAAAACACAGCTGCTGCTCTCGTTATATTTAACACCCTCTTAAGCTCTTTGTCTCCCAACGTGCCTGTTTCATCTCTCCAATTCTTTTCTGCTTTGCCATGGTGTAACTCGTCAGAGCCACCGATCAGGAATAAACAACAGGACAAGGTTGCTAGCAGCTCACGAGGACACAGCACGTCGTCTGTAGGCGGTCTGAGCCTCACCTTGCATTTATACTGCTTTCAGGGTAAGGTTTCAGTTCCTCTGTACATTGTGATGATCCATCCATCCACAGTGTGTTCCCTCACCGCCAAGTGTGAGCAGCAGTCAGCCTCTGTGCCCTGTTATGAGTTGCTGGGTCCCCATGATTTATGAAGGCTGAATCATATCACTACACAGATGACAAATCTTATGTGGGAGCTGGCCAATGTGGCCCACTAAATCACCATCCCTGCACTGGAGTATTGTTTTCCCCAGTCAGCTCAAGTGGGAGCCCTTACAGCTGTCCAAGCAGGAGATGTGGGAAGCAGGAGCTTAGCTGCAGACATGCCGCGAGGGCCTGGCAGAGCTCCTGCCCCCGAGGGTTTTTGGCAATCCTGGTGTTTTGCTCCAGCCTTTTAGTGCATCTGTGATTCCTGACTCCTTCCATGCTCTGCAACCTGATGGCAGAAAACTGTTCCTCTTCTGCTCCATGCAGTACCACAGAATCACAGAATAGAATCACAGAATATTCAAGGTTGGAAGGGACCTCTAGAGATCATCTAGTCCAACCTTCCTGCTCCAGCAGGCACACCTAGAGCATGTGGCACAGGGTGGCATCCAAGCGGGTTTTGAAGACCTCCAGAGAAGAAGACTCCACAACCTCCCTGGGCAGCCTGTTCCAGTGCTCTGTCACCCTCATATTAAAGAAGTTCTTCCTCACCTGGAGGTGGAACTTCCTGTGTTTCAGCTTATCTCCATTTCCCTTTGTCTTATCACTGGCCAACAATGAGAAGAGCTTGACCGCTTCTTCCCTGCATTC